CGAAAGTCGTAATAGTAGCCCCTTCATAATACAAGCCCCCCCCTAAAAATTTTGAACGCTTGGACAGTTTAGAAGCCCCGGAGGCTTCTATTATGGGGGGGGGTTTACTTATTATACACTAGATTTTCAGAGGTATACCTCTGAAATAGATCTAATATTATTTTTTTGATTCAGTTTTCAACGCTCAATAAGAAAAAAGTAATTTGAACGTTCCGCGCAAAAACCCAAGTCGAAAAATCAAACTTTTTTGGACATTATCAGTTTTCGAGTTTTCTCGATTGTTTTCGACATGAAATAACATGTCAGAAAAAACTATATATTCTTGATCAGCTCGAAAAACTCTATCGAACAGTGTATAATAAGTAATAAAAAATGTTGTTTGATTTTTGCATTAGCTATGCCGTACGATAAAATTACGAACTATTTCTTCAAAGTGCTAAGAGAAAGAAGTTGATGGTACCTCTCTGGAAATCTTCTAGAGCTTTCGGCAGGTCGGACTCTTTCGCTGATAAACGAAAAATGCCCCTAATATTCAAACCTGAAAAGACAAAACGGTTAAGTAGACTTCGCAGCTTGATACAACTGTCCACATATTAGCAGAAAAGTTTCTGAACAGATATATAAAATACCGTGTAAAAGAATCAGTTTTGTAGTTTGTATGATAATATCCGGTATTCCGTCTTCTTTACCATCTTGAATCAAGTTTAATAATTTGTTATTGAGAAGATTAAAGAAGTTCGAGTGATAAATCCAAGCAATTTGTGTCCATTTGAACTGCGCTGCTTTCTGATACGCCAGAAGACATTGAAGAGATCCATCATAGATGTTATTCTTCACCGTTACTCCCAGAGCTTTCAACTTTACGAAGTCCGCTAAGTCTGTCTAGAAACAGAGAAAGACTTTATGTAATCAACTCTGTTTTGTTAAAGGAAAGCAAGTATACAAGTTATTCTCAAATAACTTCAGTGTCTAACGCGAAGAACATAAAAGCTGCCATACTACGGTCGATTGGACATCAGTAACAAATGAAATCTTTTTTCTCGGAGTTGCTTGAACAACTGAACATCGAATTCCTGCTGGTTGTTGTTGATCAATTTCAACATGAATTTCAGCTACACATAGTGGTAGGGATTTTGGATGAAATTCAATTGGTTGAAAGAATCTCAATAGAGCCATATCGCGATTTTCTAAGGCGTGTTCTATGAATAATGATGCAATTTAATGACGCAATTTACCTTCAGCTAATTCACTGAGAGTTACCGAACGTTACTGCTTGCTTCTTGAATATCGAAATCGACGCCGGATTACTGTCTTTAAATACACATTCATAGGAAGCCAATGCGAGGGATGAAGATACAATCGATGCTGTACAGTAACGTACTGATGGACGACGGAAACCTCTGCAACGCCGACGTTGTCTTTTATGGTTGTTTTTCACTTGGATTTCTAATGGAACTATATGAGATGTCTCACCATCTTTGATTTTCTTTAGCGTACTTTGTTTAGATCCACAACATTGTTGCCCTAAAATAGTCTAAATTATTAACAGAAGTAATACACGTGGCAGCTGATGAATAACATACATGTATCATCAATGGTGATCCACTTCCCCAATTTGATACTACGTTTGATTGTTATTGGTCCATTTTGACGTGAACAAACATATTTCGGTCGAAACAGATTCAGTGCATCCTGCGCTTGAATACATAGAAACATCCAATAGTAATAGCAGCACATCATTGTATTGAAGTGTCTTTTTATTGATTGTGTACAATAATGGAAAGAAGAAAGCGTAGCAACTAATTCAATCATTGTTTCTCTATGACACTCGAACGTTTCTCCCTGTGAAAGTCGATATACCTTATTATGAAGTAATCAATAAGAACCATTACTTTGTATCTTATTGCGTGTGTAATGAGACGATTAATATTAATTTTAATAGCGTATATAATAGCTGTCTGTATTCTAAGCTATTTCTTTGTTCTATCAAATACGTTTGATATCTAGAAATTCTAACGGATTGTTGATTTCTAACTCACATATGCCCAGAAGGGGTGCATGACAAGGAGGAAATTAAAACTTAAAAGTGTGATATTCGTGATCTTCATATCGATTTATACTATTCATATAACTTTCATCATTTATTCGACGCTTCTGTCAAAAATAATTAAAGATGGCGTTTCTTTCCCAGGCCATGAAAAATGAGTCATGAATGACTCCTTTATATGCCATATATGGCTCATTTTTGAATCATATTTATCCCATATTCATCCCATTTATTATATCATAATGTAGTGTAATTATGTTACTTTATTATGGGATAAATATTATACTGGTATGACCTTCGAAATTTGATCCTATCCAAATCATTTCAAGATCATTTATGAGCAATTTTTATAACATAAATGTAGGGATCGAGAAGTGACTTTGGCGAAAGCTCACTTGTGTCATAAGTATATCATAATGGGACATAAATGGCTCATTTTTGGATCATCTCTATGTTCTACGGATGATTATAAAACAAGACAACAGATTTTACATCATTTTATAGGCATAATTACATCGTTTCAATGACATATAAATGCGTCATTTATGTCCCATTATGATATAGATATGACATAAAATCGTCTATCGCGGAATCCATTTTTTAACTGATATTATTTTTGATTTGGTTTATTACTTTCGCAGTCCCGTTTCTGCTATTATTATTATGTATAAACAAACTTTTCAGATGATTAGCCACTTATAAAAGGGACCGTTTCTGTACCTCGATGTGCAAATGAACACCAGATTTTGAACTAATCATCTTATGCTAATCGAACGAATAAGTAAGGTTTCTGTTTCACTAATGAAATTCGAAAATGGCAATAAAAGAAAGGTACTGTACTAGAAAGGTACTGACACTGTAAAGTGAGATAGGGAGAAGTAGCCTATAGATCATTCTTCTAACTTTCTATACTTCTAGTGTCAGATAAAATCGAGTTTGTTGAGCGAGTAAATACAAACAAGACAGATATTACAAGTAATGATTTTTTTAAACCAATATGAGATAGATGATTAATACATATGAGTAGATAACAGAAAGAACGTGCTTGGTTAGTAAAAAAGAGAATCACACTTTAGTAGAAATAAAAATCAAGGTGGATTAGATAATAAAGACTTTTCAAACCGATAAAATACAAAAGCTATTGAACAAACCTTGAAGTTTAATCAATCTGAATACACACAAACACACACAATAGTCTCTCTCTCTCTCTCACACTCTCAGAAAGTCATTGTAATGAGTACGCTTATCTGGACTAGCGTCACCTCCATCATCAGCTACTCTTCTTGAAAGAGCTGCAGCTTTTTCAGCCTGTCGTTATTTGATTTTCGCATTCGAACATTTCGTTCGCAACGTTTGAACAATACGTAATTCATAATAAGTTGCAAAAAACTTTTTCGCCATACAAAATTTATTTCGAATTGTACCTAAATGACAAAAACAGCTTCCTTCGATGGTCGTCTAAGCTAGTTTTAACTTAGTGAGCGTCGAAACTGTTAGACTAGTTAGTGTTAGTATTCATTAGAAAATTCAGAACTTTTGCCACGCTGCACTAAATTAGATTAAAATTGGGCGCTAGGTGCAAAATTTTTCGATGAAGCGGGTTCCGGTTAATTAAATTTTTTTTACATATCACATGATTAGATGCAGTTTTTTATTCTAAGAACCCATTTGGAACTCGTTTTTCAAAAAAAATCATTTTTCATCCAAAGAACCTGGTTTGGAACTTTTCAGAAACCGGAGTTTTGATGTATTAACCAAAAGCATTTTTTAAAACAAATTTCTAAAAATCTGCTTTTGTAAAGAATTGAATTCTCTACAAACGGCGTATTTGTTTTTGAGTTTACTTGCTATGCACAATTTGTACATAGTTGTACAGTTTTCGACTTACTGTGCAGTTTTTGAGCTCTTATTTTGATACAGCAACTTGATTTTTGCGCAAATCGATCAAAGATACAAAGAAAACAGGAAGTTGTGAAAATCAAAACTTTACCATCGTGTCGAGTGCCTCAAAATATGTCTGACAAAAAAGCGCGTAATGTTGTGACGCTTTTTGTGTTTTTCAGGCAAATCTAATAACCCAAGTGACACATTTTTTTACCATTAGAAAGCCCATGAGCTGCTCTACAGGATCGGCTCAAGGAATGTTTCGCTTGGAGAACTACTTTCTAGCTCCTTTAGCTTCCGAGATAACCGAAGTTTAGTGTGTCAAAAACGTAACGCCGTGACGTTTGGATAAGCCGTAGGATTCTCTTTATGAACATAAAATTAAAAATTTCATCTGTACGTAAAACACACGTAAGGCGCGCGTAATTCAAAAATCAAGTACTATTTTATTTTTCGCTTCTTTATACATGATTCGATAGAGAATTTGAAGCTGTTCACCAATATCACCTTTTTAGCCTTCCCAGTGCACGAAAAATTGAAATACGGGAAGGGTCTTAAAAGCCGAAAAACTTTCCCGTTTTGAAAAAAGTTGAACACATTTTCTCCTTTTTATTTTGAAACTCTCAACCAGCTTTTTTCTAATTCAGCGTTGAAAATCGATATCTCTGGCTGTTTTTTAATTAGTAATTAGCTCTGGTTAGCATTAATTAGTGGCACTCCAGTGGACAAAGTAAATTTTCTTAGTGTCAGAACAAATGGAGCAAATCATGCGAATTCAGACTATTTTCATCAGTTTCCAACAAATTTCTTTCAACTATCGTGACTTTCTGGCTTTCTCTTCTAGTCACGGTACTCGGTGGAAATCTATAGACGAGCTTCGTTTTCGCTCCACTTTGAGTATTATCATAGAGGTTACTTATACACTGTTATTCTAATATGTAACGTTATTGATTTTTTCTCACTTAAAAGATATTAAATATTGCAATTATAGCCAATTATCTATATGATATAGTATCGACGAGGAGCGTGAAACAATTCCTTCAAGACAAGAAATTACTGTTGCCGAACAACTGTTTGCAGTTCGGATGCAATTGTATCCATGTTGTCTATTTTTCAAGAAAACTGATGGTTAACCGCGGTTGTTTTAAAAACCCACGGTTTTCGACCGGTTTTCACAACCTGGGTTAGTATGACAGCACCAAATTGAAGAATAGACAGTTCTCGACGCATCGGAATATATTGACATCCAGAAGCTAACCATATGATGTATATTTTTTCTGATGATTTAAGAATTAGTTCGTATGATGTATGATCGTGTTGCAATATATTGATTTAAGACGCAGAGACTCAATTAGAAAACTGCAACCGCTCGTTCACAATCGGCTTTGTATAGCTTTCACCGAATGATTTTAAATGTCCGATATTTATGTGGTTATAATAACAAAATGCCCTAAAACATTTTTAAATGCCAAAGAAATTGGCTCTTCATTTGTGGATGGTGGTTGTTCCACAAAACTTGCGACGAAACGTCGTTCATATACTGTGGTTACTGTAGAAAACGTCTCTGTTCCACAGATTTTCACATGAGTTATCATTTTCATTTGTACAGCGCTTATTTTCAAGCTCTGTAATTTCTATTGCAGTATTTTGAATTCTTCTTCTTCTTTTGCTCAGTTACACAGCATGTTAAATCTGAAGTACAAGAAAAGAAATAAGAAAAAAATTGAATAGTTTAATTGAACCCTAGTGCTTAAGTGTAACGCGTTTTTCTTCGCTTGCTTTTTGATGTGCAGTACTGGAAAAAATTATAGAGCCACTGTATTTCTGAAATTTTTCGATGAAGCCGAGTGGCTAGGTCAGATCTGCATAGTCATTTGGATAGCTCTTGAAGTTCTCTATCAAATGCAGTATGCGTAAAAATTTCAGAAAAAAGGTTTTGAAGAAAGCTTTCTAGAAAAAACCCTCAGCGAAGCTCCAAGTCCTTCTGATGTCTGTAACTTTGCAAAGAAAGAGTGTGGAGAGATCTGCGTCGCTTCCTTTTGTTCAGACTTTTATGCTCTTTTAGATGGCAATATTAAATATATTTTTAGCAAAACTCTCTAGGACTTTCGTTGCAAAGTTACAAACATCAGAACGACTTGGAGCTTCGCCGAGGGTTTTTTCTAGAAAACTTTCTTATCTAATGTAAATCTTAAAAGTTTTCTCTAGACTCTCCAAAAATCCTCAGAGGTCTAAAAATATTTCTAAATTTAGGACGATGCTCACGCCTCCCTTCGGTCGGCGTTCGCACCCAGGATAATTGAGAAATGTTGTAAACTTCTCTCATTCCACGGGAAAAGCGCACAATGTAACATAAAGCTTAAAAAACGTTTTCTGGGCACCCTCTGAAAATCCCAAGGGGTTGGAAGCATTCCTGATCGATTCATCATGTTAGACCATCTATAATCTGTAAGTTTTATTATTCGTAGATGACTTACCGTATCAAAACTGACTGATTTCTGGCGACTACTATCATCGAACTGCAGAAAATCGTTATTCCCTTCCATATCGTTCAATCATTCCATCAGTTCAATCATTTACAGATTTTTCAACTTTTTCGGCAAACCAATTCATTGGATGAAAGTTTTAAATTCAAATAAGAAATAAACGAGATGTTATTTTCTGTTTTCGTTTTCTATGATCGGTGACCATTAGCGAGATAGCCACTATTCTTTAGTTTAGAAGTCGCCTTTTATCCAGTAGAACAAAGAAAAACAGAAAATAACACCTCGTTTATTTCCTATTTGAACTTAAAACTTTCATCCAATGAATTGGTTTGCCGAAAAAGTTGAAAAATCTGTAAATGATTGAACTTTTCGCTACTGATTTTTTTGGTCTGTCCATATACTAAAACAACTAGAATATACTATAAAGCCATAATACACATGCTGACCATACGCACGAGAGAACAAAACACAGCTGGACTTCGTTTTTAATTTAACAAACGGAACAAACCATAGATCTCAATCGGGATATTAGTAACACTGTATATCCCAATCGGAATATATCCTGATCGGGATATAGTCCCATACTGGAAGGTGTAGCTAGTTATTAGATTCGCAGGATAAGCAAAATGTTGTTAAGAAGTACAGAGAGAGCAGCAACAGAAATAGTTTAACTTGAGTCGTTCTAGGAAACGATCCAGCGTAGAATAAAACAGACGGTGCCATATGATTCCTCATGGAATTTTGCGTAACTTTTGTCTTTAGAGTTCAGATGACGAACGTTGATTCAAACTGGAAAATGGTGAACTTCACAACGACGGATAAGAAGTCATAGGCCGACGAGACGGCAACGATAAAGAAGATTGTTGTCGTTGTTGGATCTGTGGATAACTAGACATAATTTATTAACAGCTAAAAAATCAAGATTAAACTAAGTTTTAGCAATCGGCAGAAAAAATTGTAAGTCATTCGTGAGAGGCATTATTTTCTCAGATCTCAACAGCCATAACTAATCCTCTCTCTGCTACCAATGTTATGCTCGACGTCTCGAGATATTACATCGGCGTTGGTCTGAGGATGGTATGGTGTGGTGTATATGTGATGACAGCCAATTAGTTTTTGAATGTTTTCCATTAAAATGTTTTGAAAATGTGGACCTTGATCGCTAATAATAACTGCTGGAATTCCATATTTACAGAAGTAATCATTGAATAGTGCTTGTGCTGTTGTTTAAGCACTGTAGTCAGGTAGGGCTATCGCTGTCATGTGTCGAGTGAAGTAGTCAGTTATGACAAGCACGTACTGATTTTCACACGGTGTCCTTTTGAAGGGACCACAATAGTCGATGCTTACTAGCATGAAAGGACCATCAGGAGGTGGAATTGGTCGAAGGTGGCCGTGTTTTTTATGACCACTTATATTGTATTGTTGACATAATAGACAAGGTTGTATATGCTTCGTAATAGTGCGTTTCATTTTTGGCCACCAATAATGAGTTCTAATTTTATTATATGTTCTATCAGTAGAAAAGTCTCCTCCGATCATTGGATAATTATGATAAGCATGAAGAAGCGGTGCTACCATTAATGATGGTAAATAAACCACTGGGACGTTGGTTTTTGAAAACTGTGATGGTGTGATAAGTTTATAGAGAATCCCATCTTTGAATGTGAATGTTTGATCGCCCGAATTTTGTTTGAGTTGCTGTATGATGTGTTGTACACAATTTTCGTTCATAGAGCATGGAATTTTAAAAGCTGCATTTCTAGTCAGGATACTACTGCGTAGGAAACTTTTTTTGTGCTTTTTAATGCTTTTAGCGGATGAAACCGGACGTTTTTCGCGTTTTTTAAATTTTTTTGTGTTTTTATATTAAAGTCTAAAAATTATCTCAAGATCTCAGTGAAAAAAAATTTAAAAAGCGAACGAAAAAAATGCGTTTTCACTAAATAAAAAACGTAAAAAATTAGGTTTACGAGGAAACGTTTTTCATAAATCCATTTCAATGTGCTCTATCGAATGGCACCAAATTTGACCTTTCGTCTGAAAGAATGAAAATTTCAAAAATTTGGCAAGAATCCGTCATAAAACGTTAAAAAAATATTTCTCAAACACTACAAGTCCGGTAAGCGAAAATATTTTGGGCTATGTATGTTTCCAAGTGTCCTCTAAAAACTGCTGGAAAAACAGAGTGGGGGTCACTTGCCCTCTTAATTTATAAAGAAAAGATTCTGCTGACTAAAGACAAACACAAACTGCATCAATTTCTTTTTCATCTTTATCTTTAACTTGTCATAGCTGATCAGCCACTAAGTGAGCTTCAAACGTTTGATAGATTTGATTTTCTCAATCAGAAACGTGTTTTGTCGTATCCCTGAGGCGTTCGCATAACATTTTTCTCTGTCAATTTTTCATGATCACATGTATTACATGCAGTTTTTTTCTAATGATCATGAGAAGATTATCTGAAAGGAAAAGTTCTCTTTACACCAGCGTACTCCGACGGATGATCGTTAGACAGCGAAGCAGGAAGGAGTGAAGAAAAATTATTTATACTTTTGAAAAATATTTATATTATCATAGTGTCTGCTGATGATTCGAGACAAGGATCGAAAACTTCCAGTTATCACTGTATTTATTTGCTGATTAAATAATGATATTTTATACTATTATTTGATGTCTCATAATTATTTTGTTACAAGGAATCAAAAGTAAAACCATTCAGATAAGAGTTAATTTGACTGTGTTATACTGTGCAAAACTGTTTACAAGCACGTTTTAACTTCTTTTAGTGTAGTAAAATATCTTTCATTTTTCTGTAAAAAAAAGCACATTTAATTCAAAAGTTATTTAGAGCAAAGTGAGTAATTAGGAGATGTATTTTTATGCGTCATTCTTCTTGCATTTAGAAAATAATTTTCCCATTCTTGATTTTCGAAATGCTTCTCTGTAGACAGTTGATGGTTGAATAAAGAGAATATAGGTGAATGATTGAGGTAGATAAGAGATAAAGTGAAGTCCGATAATAAAATATCTAAGCCAAACAATATTCCATGATTTACAGGAAACTATGAAACCGACTAGCAGCTGAGGTAGTGAATATAGAATCATCAGCAAAGGACATAATAGTTGTTCATATTTCAAGTTAATTTGAGTCCACAGTGATGAAATGTATGACTCATGACGCAAATTTGATTTACTTCGTGCCGCCATTAAAAGTATTATACCAGTAGCATAAACATTAAACATAAACGGTACAAGTTGATGAATAAATAAAACGATAGTATCAAATGTTTTCCATACACTTGACGAATATTCCATTATACATATATCCTGATTGTTATTTTGACGGTCAGAAATTATTCTATGAAATGAAATATCCGTAACCGTACTTGCTGACACTAGAATTATGATTACTCCATACAATATTAATTTTTGTTTATCTTCACTTGTAAATTTAATATTTTTCTTACTACGAGCTGTTGATATTTTCATACTTTTTGTCGTTTCTGTTCGATTTATTGACAAGACGCCAATTGACCATTTACTTATATAACTACATGTTTCTAATAAATACGAAGATGATTTACACATAATAACATTTATTAATGAATTATGTATTATAGAATATTGATTGAGAATGACATATAGTACTTGGGTAAATAAAAACGTAAGAGTTAGTTGACTTGTAATGGATGTTAAAATAATAAACCAAATAATAGTTGAACGTTGAATTGACGGTTGAATTAATGTAATTATTGAAAATGTGTTACTGACTAAACCTGTCAACATCATCAAACCAGAAGCTAACAAATATACAACTGATTCTCTCTTGAATTGAATGATTCTTGATAGTAGTGCACTATTTTGTTCATCATCTGAAACCATTTATTCCTTCAAATTTTATCTTTTTATATTTTTAAATCACTTACCGTCGTATTCGTCAACAGTTGTTTGAACAAATTTATTTGAATTATCCATAATCAACAAAATTTCTAACGAAAAACCAAATTGATCAGTACGATATTGACAAATTGAACCATAATGGCCTAAAATAAATATTGGCAGTAACATATATGAAGGATCAGTAAAAGACCTCAACTTACATAATGGACAACGACAGATGAAATCACTGAGATTAGTCTCTTTATTTCCAAAAAAACATCGGCCTTCATTTAAACAAAAATAACATTTGTCATAATCAAAGTCATAATTGTAACACAGTGTTGTATGTTTTCTCTGATCACATAAACACATATAAGTATTTGGATCATAGAAACATGTTATTGACGTATTTTCTTGGCATGGACGATGATATTGCTTTATAATTTTAAACAGCTGCTCAGCTGAATTGTTACGAAGTGTTAATCATAACTCAGCTGCAGGCAAACAGCGCCTTCTCGACAGCGTTTCTTCCAGTGACACATTAATTGAATCTATGAATTCTCCCTCCTACGAAAATCTAATACTGTTAATCCTTTGTTGCAGTTCTGAGATCGCGCTGCTCTTCTTTGAGAGAGATCGTCCAAAGGCGCGATCAGCACTTTTTGACCATTGGGTCAACTCCACTAGTTCGAAAAAGCCACTGCGCCACAGTGGGCATTTCCTCATAGAGCAGGCGGCATTTTTTGCCGACATAGTTTTTTTGAATCCAAAAGCACTTTTTTATAGGTTTTCGCATACGGTATTTCCAGCAGTGTGGCAAAGGTGAGTCGTG